CGGAGTCTTTGTGCGACACAAATAGCCACAAACTTCATTTAAATATATTTTATTTGTTGTCATGTCACTTACTGTCGTACCATAGATGCCAATTTCGTTAATAACATGTGCATTAATTAAATGTTTACCGTTTGGTTTGATCAGACAATTACGAGAGACGGGTGGAACAATTTTCTCCATTGCTATATAGTTTGATAACTGAACTTTTTTATCACTCAATAACTGTAAAATATCTTGACCGAAAACATTGTTTCCGCCACCTTCACGTTGGGGTTTCAAAACGTAATTATCAGGTTTTGATAGTAACAAAGCAATATTCTTTTTGTAATCCACGTCTTCCGTATCAAATGTGAACATTGGCGCGAAGGTTGAACGAATTTTTTCCACAGTGTGGGAATTGCTGATAAATGATTCCAGAATATTTGGACGCGTTAAATATTCTTGAACGATTTTACAACCAGCTAACTGAGAGTGAACTGTCGGACATTTAATAGCTAAGAAAAACAGGCAACAAACATTATTCAGACAGAAAATATCCAAAACTTCATTAAATTTAGTCAATCGTCGCATAACCTCCCTCAACTGACAGGTCAGGACTCAATATTTTCTGGTTTTGACTGTTCCTCCTCGACTTGTAGGGTTTTTAAAATCAAAACCTTCGATTTTAGACAGTAGAAGACATTCTCTCTTACAATATCCCATATCTAACCCAAAAATTAAAACTTACCGTATAGAGAGAGTTTCGGTTAAAAATGACAATCATAATGAGGCTGAGTATACCAGAGATAAACAACACTTTGATCAATCTTACCATTGGATTGTTCGATTGTTTTCCGCATATTCCATATAGATTCGTCAAAATAATGATCTGGTATGTATCCGGCACGATAATAAACAATCGAAATTTCTTCCTTGCTGTTTTTGAAACATAAATTGTTATTTTGATTCAATTGTATTTCATTCACTAATTCTTTGAATGTTTTCAAATAAATTTTGACGTTTGGTATTTGTTTTTGAATCGCATCGTACAGTGCACCTTGATCACATACATTTCGTTCATTCGGAAGTATAACGAACAGAATGCACGATTCTGGGTTATTATACAACTCATACGCTTTTGCTATGGCTTTAGCTGCATTTTCTACAGCATTATTAACCATAAAATTAACATAATGATCACTCGATTCTTGTTGCTGACTATTGAGTTCAATATCGCGTATTGTACAATTTCTGATAGAATATCGGAATATGGCCTTGTGTAACTGTGATATAATACCTGTAAGACCGGCAAATGCTGAGCTAATCGTATTAAACTCAATTTGACGCATTTTTGTTTGCGATTTATCGTTGGCTTGTGTGTCGTACATATAGTCATTTCGATAAATATCTAACTGAATAGGCTGTTGTCTATTTGTTTTACACGATAAATAAATATTCCATAGGCGCGCAACGAAATCGTCAATGGGAATTACTGACTCCAGAGCTTTCTTCAAGATATCATCATTCTGCGAGATTTTTGTGTATAATAGATTATAGTCCGCTTGTATGTTCCAGATGAATTCAAACTCTTTCTGCGATAAACAACTGGGAAACAATGTGTATGGAACAAATGTCGCTTGATCACATTCGTTGGGAACTAAACATAACAGACCATGAGTTAACGCCCATCGTTTTGAATATTCGATAACATCATCGACGCTCCATAATAACTCAATCTCAGGCATCAAAAATCTAAAGCAGAAAACAATATTACGGCAACTATACTTCCACATAAGAGTCCTACTAGCATGAATGCGCAAGTACACTAGCGTAGAAGATACAACAGTATGGAAATACTGACATAACTTGCATCATCGAACACAGAAATTCAGCAAAAGCCAAAAATATCTCAAAAATCAAAATGCTTTAATCGAGATTTTTCTGCCACCACAAATTACGCATCATTTCAAAATAAAAGCTGTAGACCAGCCGAAATACGTCAGTGAACACCATCACAGTAGTTCCGAGATTTTTATATAAATTTTACCTTATATTCGAGCAATTTTATCGTTTCTGCATACAACTTATTCCCTTGACTTTAGTCTAGGGTCTTACAAAATGGTTGTCTGTGTGTGTGTGTGTGCGCAAAATACGGAAAAATGGCTGTCAGATATTCCATGGATAAGCGAATCACAAGAGTCAACAGTAGAAAATTATTTTTTACATAAGAGAGAAAATAATCAAAGAGATCATCTGAAATATCTACTGATGCAAAGACGTAAACAGCACAGCTACCGTTTTCTGTGGGGCGGGGTAGATGTCGCCAGATAGCAGTCAACTGTGACTATACAAAAAAAGTGGTCTACGGGTAATAAAATTGATAGTATATAGATAATCTATTAGAACGAATCGATTAAAATACTTCCAACCTCCCTGGAGTCTGCAGAGGGTGTGCAGAAAATCTTTTAACTTTATATCACATTAGATGGTTTTTTGGTGGAATCAGAGAAGTTCATAGCGTTTCTCATCTATACTGGTTGCGAACGCCGACAGAAGAGAAACGTGAGAATTAATTTTGAATTCAGAAATAGTTTTAGATCTTTTGAGATTTTTGCTCTATTTATATTAGTTTACGAACCTTACACATGACAACAGAAAAAAATCCAGAAGATGTCTTAGGTAGGTTTCCAGCGAGCGCCGACCGAAGGGAGGCGTGAGCATTGTTTTTAATTCAGAATTACGTTTAGACCTATAGAGATTCTTGATTTATATATTAATATCAGACTACGAACCTCATACATAAAAAATGAACAAAACTCCAGAAGATGCCTTAGTTAGGCCTCCAGCGAGCGCCGAACGAAGGGAGGCGTGAGCATTGTGTTCGATTTAAAAGTCACCAAAGCACGTTCGCTTGCGCAGATCCAACTGACCGAGCGAGTTGAGACGAGCGTTACCTTGTTTTATTCCTTGCAGAAGGAAAAAAAAAGAAAAACATTCGGACAACATGGAATTCAAAAAAGGGAGGACGGGTATAAGTTCCCTTTATAGGGAACTTGACGAATGCAGATTTCGACTATTCCATCGGAAAGAGCATCGCTTAAAACCTATAGATTGACAAAAGAAAGTTGCCGGCAAACACTCAAAACCCAAAAAAAATTCAAATTACTATCATTAGTGCCTGAGGGGGACCAAAGGCAAAAATTTTGGACAAAATGTTTTTCTGCTAAATATACATTAAATATACATCATTGAACTCAGTTTCGTACGTAGATTACGAATTTAGTATTGGTTTTGAATAGAAATTCTAAAAGTTTCGCTCGATTCCTGAGGGGGACCAAGGGAAAAAATTATGACGAAAAAACGTTTTTTCAGAAAATCACATCATCCGATTCGGCTTTTTACGTAGATTATGAATATCGTATTTATTTTTGATAACGTTTTGTAAGCAGCTACTTTTAATTGAAAAAACTTTCCTCCACTCACCCTCACTTCCCCTCCCCCCTTTGGTCCCCCTCAGGCACTAATGATAGAAATTTGAATTTTTTTTGGGTTTTGAGTGTTTGCCGGCAACTTTCTTTTGTCAATCTATAGGTTTTAAGCGATGCTCTTTCCGATGGAATAGTCGAAATATGCATTCGTCAAGTTCCCTATAAAGGGAACTTATACCGAATTTTTCGACAGCAGCAGCAGAAAAATAGCGAGATTATTTGTAAAATAGATTGAGAAGAAACTAGTCCTTGTGAGGATCTGTTTGAATGTATACGTTGCTTTTTGATTTTTAGAATATGTCATAATAGAAGGATAGTGTTGGATAAAACATGCCTGGCACCAAAAAAACCCGCTCTTTTGGCCCGTGTGTAATTTGTAACGGTTTGCATGCCGAAGCAAGGTCAAATTTTATTCAAATAATTTCGGAACAAACATTAAAACATCTCCAACGCGGTTACCGATATATATATAAGACCGAATTAGGTCATATTCTTAACTGTTGGGTGCATCGACGATGTTATAATTCCTTAATGAAAGCATACTACTGTAGTAAACCCATACCGTCAGATGCTCCATTATTTTGTTCAGAGTATCCAAAAGTAACATTGAAAATCAAAATCTTATCTTAGAAACTTAGTTGATTCTGTTTTCTCTTTTTAGGAAACTATAAACATATCGAACAACAGTGATGATAGAGAGAAGGACAATTTGATTAACCGTTCTCAACCAACAAATCGATGTGTATTAGGTGATATTTCAAATCAATTCCATTCATCTCTTACCAGAAATATATGGAATGTGAGACAAAATAATATTCACGTCTGAAATTGTAACTAGTCTTCTTTGTTTATAGACTCATGACACAAATTTACAATATACTGACGTTGAAGTTTGTCACATGGATAGGTCCGACCAAGAAAATGTTTCGCCTCATCCATCATTGGCAATACAAGCGAGCGATAAAAATGTCGGTGTTTTAAAACCTTCACGTCATTATTTATAATAATATGTGTTATTTTCTTTCTAACAGACACAAATTGAGCACAAATCTTCTGAAGTTATTGAGAATTCATCATCATCAATAGATACCTGTAGTTTTTATCATTTTATGTCAGAAATACGTTCCATTCATGTTAACCACGAGAAAGAAAGAAAAAAGGTTCGCTTCTACTGCTCGCTTCTGCTGGAAATACTTACATATGTTTATTTTGTGCAGTTCTGCTCTGCTCATGCCGTGTCCTGGTTTTTGCTCTCAGTTATAAACATGAAAAGAAAGTAAATGGTCCAGTTGTCAACAGCTTGTGTACGAGACTGATCAGTCGCGATTCAATTTTTCTGGAACACGTGACATGTAGCATTGAATTTACATGTTGAGTGTTTGAAACTATTGAAAGCTGACTTTTCAGTGAAATCATCTGATCACTTCATTGTTATCCTGGCAAGAACCTAGAAGAATTTCAGAAAGAAATGCAGGTTCACAGTTTGCAAAAGATGATCTGTTAATCGTTTTAGTGTAACAAAACCATTTCAATAACACAATCAACATCATTAAACACATGCAATCTTCGACCTCGAATGACAGATTCACCTCAAATATTGAATGATCCGATAGATGACGATAAAACGTCGTTTGATAGTTTATGCCACTGGATATTAAACGAATTGAATAATGGGCATGTGTTGGCAATACAAGCAGTAAAAGATCATTATCTAAACATAAAGCAAAATAAACGAGAAACAGTTACAGAATACATGATGAGAACTACGACCCTGAAACATCAAATCGCATCAAAATTAGACAATATCATATTCTTTAATGAATCATCTCAAGCCGGTACATATATCGTGTTAAACGACGTTAAGTTTTATGCATTGATCGTGTTGAACTCGTCACTTTCAACAGCCACAACATGTAAACAAAAACCACAAAAAGACACCGCTTTAATATCAAATGCTAAAATATTGTTTTCATCAATCCGTCTTCTACTTGATACATATTCAAAAGCATTTGAAACTTTTGATCAAATAAACAAAAAGCCAGAACAATTACAACATTTTAGTCCTGATATGTATTGGTCACATGTTCCAATGCTATTAAGAAACACAAGTAAGTTGTTCCAGTTTGGACTATTTATACAGCAATGATTTATACTTTGTTTAATCACTTTAGTTGGAATTTTATCGTTGAACGATAAATTGTTTAATGAATTTATGAATAATTATTTAATCTATGATATTTTTAACGATGACTTTTTCAGAAACTCATCTAAAAAATACAGCTCTCTCCTTTATTCTTAGGCAAAGGACGAAATGGCATCAGTGAACAATTTAGTGCTCAAGGAATTGACAAATTCTGTCAAACGTTAGTGTTTCGAACGCTAATTTATTCGGCGATTAACGATATAACAGAAATCGATACTGATACAAACGATGGGCATATTGAATGCCAG